ACTCATAATTTGAAATAATGTTCGTAAATGGCAAGACTCATATTATATAGGAATAGTTACTGAAAATTGCATTAACCAATAAAATACTGATCGATGGTCACTCTAACTTAAAATTATATTACAAATCGTAATATGTATAGTCTACTATGTTATATCGGTGTACTAATTTCGACAGAGTTATTTTGAACTATTTTAGTAAGAAACATATTTAAAAGTTCGGAAATAAATCTAGATAGGTCACAAGTACTCAATAACATCATGTATTATATTTATTTTGTACATAATATTATTTGAAATAATTTACTAATAACAATTATTATGTATTTCAGATACAAAAAGTTGGGCTGAAATATATGTTAGTGATTGGCATCATATTGAACGCATTGTCGACCATAGCCTTTGGGTAACGTGAACAAAAAACTCGCTATTTTTCATATTTTTAGAAAGATATAAAAATTACACGTACACGTAAAACAATAATATATTTAAATTTTTTTTTATAATTACAGATATTTGACGTACATCGACGAAAGAAACACGTTCTTACTGTTATCGCTGTGCCTTAGAGTATTGGAGTCTTTGGGCGCTACAGGTGCGATGGTAGCCGCGTTCTCKCTAACGGCCGTCTCATTTCCCGAATCGGTTGCCAGCACTTTCGTACGTATACTCTACATATTGTACATTATACAATATTACGATTTTGTTTATTCACCCCCACAAATCACAACATCGTGCTTGTACTCTCCGCCATAAATCATTCCTAAAAAAAATGTTTATATAATATACATTATATATCTGAGAGTTGTTATTAATAGGTTATCCTCTCTTTAATGTTTAAGTGCATATTTGGTTTTCTTCATTATTAATCTAACTTAACTATTGTATTTTAATAGTACAGATTGTAAATAAGCTTTACAAAAAAAAAAAATGTTAGTTTATATTTTAATTTGATCATATTAACTATATAGTCAGTTATAAACTATCTATGTAAAATATACAAATGGCTTTTTATACAGTCATTATGGCTTTTTATACAGTCATTATGAATATAAATTTCACATTTTTATCCTACAGTTACCAACAATTTGTCAACTATCAAAAAAATAAAAATAAAAATTGAAGATTATGTTGAGCTCTAATTAAAAAATACAATCCAGCTACTACGTTTTTATAATATGGAGATTTTCGTTTAAATGTCTGAAACTACAATTTTTAAATTTTTCACGCTTCAAAAAGTTTCATCAACGAATTACTTTAAGTAATTATAATAATAAAAAAATATTTACATTAARTTATTAGGTATCACATAACACGGTATATATACCTTCCATTGTGTTCTATAAACAAAAAAAACTAGATAAAACCGACCGATGAATCTTTATGTAATATATACAGTATATCGATACTATAAAATATTACATGCCACCAATAAATCACACTCTTAAATTATTCAATCTGTAAAAACAAGTTAAACCAATGACTTATTTTTATATTATAATATTATATTATAGTCTGCTCTTGAAGTATGTTATGGAATGGGATATATCGTCGGGCCAACTCTCGGYGCTTTGCTGTTCGAAGTGAGTTTAGACTTGAATGGTCATATACTAATATTTGTTTAAATTAAATTAAATTTTTCTGATTTTTTACCTGTACAATTCTATTCGTAATATACTATAACGTGTACATCCGGTAGGTTGGTGGATTTTCACTACCGTTTGTGGTCATGGGCTTCATTACACTTGGAACGTCGTTCCTGGTGTGCATTTTAATGAAACAAGACGTGCCTAGTCCGAACAAGGCTAAGAGTGAGTGTTTACAAATGTAACAACGTTACACATTAAAATAATAATACCTTATACAATTTATATAACCGTTCTATATACAATGTACATATTTAATATAATAATGATATATATTATTTTCTATTGACAWTCAATAAATGTTATGTCATAATTGTGTCCGTTGCAGCCAAAGTAACACACCTCATGAGTGTTCCTACAGTACTTCTAAATTCTATCGCAACAGTAATAACAGCTACAGCAATGGGATACTATTCAGCCACGYTGGAGCCACACATTCGTGGGGTAAGTACTTACATATTTTTAAAAACCCCAAAATACTGCAATAACAAAAATGAAAGTATATATATAAGTACTT